AAAAACCACCAAAGTAAAGACTAATGTTTTTCCATTCCTAAAGAAGAGACGTTACTGATGAAAGGGAGAGGGAAGAGAATTTTGGGCTTTCATTTTTTATTATTTTAATGTTTGAAGTTGTACCTTAATCTCTCTGTATAGTAAAATACCCCAAACTGAACTAATAAATCCAGGGCCCTAATAGAATAAACATGTATATACAGTACATCTAATTTATTATTGATATGAAAAGTGCGGGATAACTGGTAAACTTACAGCTGTAATGATTGGGAAGCTAGCAGCTAGTGATAAATTCTCATTAGCTAGAAAGCAGCCAGCTAAAGAGAGAGATGCCACATGACAGTCCCATGATGACTCACTCATTGCTATCCCCCATATGATGCCACTAATTAGAGCTGGTAGGATGACTTTAGGATAAACCTTAGGTCTGTTCCTCATGTACAGAGAATAGACTGCAAACCAGAAAGTACTTACTAAGAAGATACCAGTGAAGTGACCAATGATGTAATCAAGCTCTGGAATAAAAGAAAGAGATAGCAAAAAGAGGTACCAGTAACTGAATATATTAGAAGTGGTAATATACATTGTACAATGTACATTAATATACATGTATATGTACATGTATGCACCATAAATGAAGTTAGTATCTTACTATTGCATGAATGAGTGTCATCTTCGTATAATCTCATAAATTCAACTGCTAAAAATTGAGTGCCAAATAAAAATCCAATATCTACCTAATGCCATACTAAGACCACTGTAGGAGAAAGAGAAAATGTACATATAGTGTATATGTACTACATGTATTATGATCATTGATTTATTGTAATGCAGTTAGATGCATATGTACATGTACTTCTAATATTTGTTTTTACTTATACAATTTTTTGTTGCCATTTCCCTAACTTGTCAACCCAGGAGTAGTCCTCATCTTTTCCAAGCACCCCATATAGGAAAAACAAGGTTGCAGCATGGTTTTGGCAACCTTGTAACAAGGTTGTTGTCACTAGGTGGCCACTACCTGGCCGATTGGTTTGTACTAATCTACTACCTTCTACTACACCAAAAGCAGCAAACTCTGTATTAGTTCATTTTGACTTAATCCCCTTATGTCTCTATTCTAGGAAGAAACTAAGTAATTTTTCTATTTACAATAGTATCAAAAATTTTTTGAATGAAATTTTTTTAATTTTTAAAATTTACCAAATCTAGTCCAGTACATACATCAACTCTAAAATCTATTACCCTCTACTATATCATAAGCAGCACACTCTTCCATTGATAGTTCCGACTGAGGAACTGTTAATGTTACAGTCTCATACTGTGGGAATCCAGCACTCTCTACTACACCATAAGCAGCACACTCTTTTCCTGGTAGTTCATAGTCTCCCTCTGACTGTGGAGATGGTAGATCTACAGTCTCATACTGTGGGAATCTAGTACCCTCCACTACACCATAAGCAGCACATTCTTCCATTGATAGTTCTGATTGTGGAACTTGTAGATGTACATTCTCATACTGTGGATTAACTGATGATAGCTCTTGCTCTTGTGAACCTATAAGTAAACCTTGTTTATAAATAAATAAATAATTTACAGTACTTTGATTATTATTTTCATTACTCTTCAGTAATGTAACGTCATTAATCACTTCCATTCTTCCTCTTCTCTTTTTAAATCGAACTGTTGCTGCTACCACTACAATTACTACAACAACTACAATGTACATATTAATGACAACATTTGATTATAATGTACATACCAATTATTATAATTAGTAGTGCAATTGATATCCCAGAAACCAATTGAATAATTGATGAAGAAGAGGATATGGATAAAGTTGGGATTATGGTAGATGAAGAAGCTATAAACGAAGGTAGGACTATAAATAAAGAAGATATGGATGAAGAAGTTTGTGAAGTAATGGATGAAGAAGATATTGATGTAGATGAAGAAGTTAAGAATGGTAAAGTAATGGATGAAGATAGTGGAGATGAAGCAGTTGAAGGACCTATGTATACAATAAAGTACATTATAACTACACAAATGAACATACACTGTACCTGTCACTAATGTACTAGTTAATCTAGTGGTAGGAATAGAAGTAGAGCTACTGATGGTAGGAGTATCTGTAGTACTGCTTATGATGGAGCTACTTGTAGTAAGTTGTACTCTTGAAGTAGTCAACACTGATAAAGGAAATGTCACAAATTCAGACATTATTGATGGAGTTGGTACAGGCGGCACCATTGTTGGTAAAGATGTCATTGATGAAGTAGTTAGAACTGTTGAATTAGTTGCTACTGGTGAAGTAGATATTGTCAATGGTACAGACATCTTTGATGGAGTAGTCAATACTGTTGATGTGAGTGATACTGATGATGAATGAACTGATGACATTAGAACTGAAGATGTAGAGTCATTAGTAATATTAATACCAGTTATTACAGTAGGAGGATTAGATATACAGTTCTTGAAAAAGGTTGCCCATTCACATGCATGCAGTGTTAAGTTATTACCAGCTGGTATACCATCAAAACACTTAATAAAGTTCAATGAATCATTAAAAGGTTTGAGGTCACCCCAATGAAACTGGCCTTGACTATCAAAAATGTAAATGAAATCAATATAAAGTGTACTGCCATTGACAAACTGAAACTGAAGACAAGCAGAATTTGATGTAACATTAATCAATGTCAAGTTCAGGTCATGAGTACCTTAAAATAAGTAAATATCATAATGTATTAATTGTGCATTACTTACTGTTTGTTATAGTGTTGCTTTGAACTGTAACTCCATTTTGATAGCACAAAGTAGCATTAGTATTTAGTGTCTTATTTGATGGAAATTGAACAACAAGTGAAATGTTATTATAAGAACTATTGCTTATGGATACATTTGTTGTTGAATAACAGTTATCCTTAGTACATCCTTTCAATGTAATGTTCATTAGTGGTGGTACATTAGCACAAAACTGAAAGTAAACATAACTGCATTATACTATGGGACCAGATAAAAGCGGGAGACGGAGCGGGAGATGTCACGAAAGAATGCGGACATAGATATGTATCTAGCCACGTGTAGTTCAGGAAAGCTGGAGAAGACGGACAGAATCGGAGAATGTGTGGCACCAAAATAATGTTATTTCTATTAATTTTGAGCAGGAGCCCATGTTTTGAGTTATAATTCCATTATTCTGACCACTCAATTTAGTTTTGATTCTCGTTATTTTGGCATTTACAAAAATTATAGCTAGTTACCATAGCATTACAATTTTAAAGTACTAAAATAGGGCTCAGTAATGCAATACTGCATGCATGAGTGGTGAATTGAGCTCAATTTACAAAATTTGTGAAGTACACAAACAAAAGTACT